TGGGTGGGGCCGTTGCCGCCCTGTCCCCCTGCACCGGCTGCCGCCTGCAACGGCGCGATGGTGGTGGTGGGGCAACGGCAAAGGTACCGGGCTGCAGCTGATGCCTTCTGAGGCCACCTTTATTATTCCAACAAATCTTTCTTTTAAAGCACGATGACCGAGCAAGAACACTGGAGCCAAGCACTGGATGAAATCCCTCGGAGCTCCCAGCCCAGTTCTTGCACCCCTCCCACAGTCCTGCCAGCTCTGCTTCCTAAACGTCACAGCTTGCTATGCAGAGCCCACTTTCCAAGCAAATAGGAATTCCATGCATACAGCAAATAAAAACCCCTCGAGGGCTGCATGGCTCCCCTCTGTGCTGTAGGGAGACGCTCTCAGGTGTTACCCAGCACCTGGGGTGCACAGCTGCCCCAGCGGCGCTTGGCTTACTCGCTTCAGTGGACAGGCTGCAGAGGGACCTGGACAGGCTGGATCCATGGGCCAAGGCCAACTGTATGAGAGTTTATCACCAGTAAACTGCTGGTGAGGGGTCTAGAGCACAAATCTTACAAGGAGCAGCTGAGGAAACTGGGGTTGTTTAGTCTGGAGAAGAGGGGGCTGAGGGGAGCCCTCATCACCCTCTACAGCTGCCTGACAGGAGGCTGTAGGGAGGTGGGGGTCGGCCTCTTCTCCCTGGTAACGGACGATGGGACAAGGGGAAATGGTCTGAAGTTGCGCCAGGGCAGGTTTAGGTTGGACATTAGGAAAAACTTCTTCCCAGAAAGGGCTGTCAGGCTCTGGAATGGGCTGCCCAGGGAGGTGGTTGAGTCCCCATCCTTGGAGGTATTTAAAAGAAGGGCAGATGAGGTGCTTAGGGACATGGTTTAGTGGTGGGATGCCAGGGTTAGGTTAACGGTTGGACTTGATGATCTTAAAGGTCTTTTCCAAGCAAAGCGATTCAATGATTCTATGACATCCTCAAGAACCGGGGGCGGAGTGCCTTTTTCAAACAGTGTTGGCTGCACATGGAACATGTGAGGTCTCGGTGCTAAAGCACCTGTTTCTGGTGCTTGAGGGGGAGAAGAGAGGGGAAAGAAGATGATAGGGGAAAAGTTTTTGTCTTTACAATGCCATGGTCACGTTGTTTTACAGTCATAGCTTGTACGTGTGCTGGCTGAATCATTCAACACACCCCCCCTTTTATTTACTGCAATGTGCTGCTTTTTCAGGTGAAGATGTGGCCCTGTAAAATCTGCTGCCTCGTTCTTTCTCACAGCAGGGAGGGGCTGAGTGCACAGCGTTTCTTCCTCCCTGAGAGCCATCAGATGATGTCCTACCCGTGGGAGGCACTGGCCACGGCGTGCTCCCCCGCCAGTGCATCCGTCCTGCAGGAAGCATCCCCTGTCGGTTCCAGGGGAGGCCCTCGCACTCCCCTCTCCCAGAGAGGTTCCCTGCAGAACTGGAATCCCAGAAGGGAAGCAGGGAAACCCACACCAGGATAATTCTGCAGGAAGAGTGGCAGAAGTTCTGCAAGAAGTCACGTCGGGAGGCTGGAAGGAACGAGCGTGAAGGTGCCTGGGGAGAAATGCCTTCACGTGCTTTATCGGCCGCTGATTTTGCAGTTCTGCATCTTCCAGGGCCAGAGCAACCCCGCTGCCCGCGCCGCGCATCAAACCCCGTCCGCAATGTCAGGGCAAACTCATGCCAGCAGAGCACCGCGGCTGTTGTTCCGGGCCCCTGGGCAGCAGCTGGGGAAAGCAGAGGTCACCCACATTTTTCATCCGTCCCCTTCACAAACAAGCACGACCTGGACCCAGCGCCAGCACAGCTGCATGTCTGGCTGGGCCCATTCCTGCCGTTGCGCTGAGGAATTCCCCGCATAAATACCCCAGGTTTTGCCCGCAACTGCAAAGGGCGCTCGCTGGCCTCTGCAGCTTACCAGGCCCTGCAGAAATGGCACGCTCTGCCGGGAAGCTGGCCGTTCCTCTTCTCATCACCGTGGTGCTCTGCAGCTCCCTGGGTAAGTTTTGCCAATTAAAAAAAGAGAATTTTTAATTTTTTTTTTTTTTTTTTT